GGACATTTTTCTGATACTTAAGAAAAGAGAGCCTAGAGAATTTAATACTCATGGGACGTTGAAAACAGCATGCAACCTACTGTATTTGTAACTGGATGGTAAGACAAATAGGGATGGTAAAGGATCAAAAATTACTTAGAGCAACAAAAGACATTAAGTTGTGGAGACCCATGATTGTGTATGTTCTAAAACGACTTGGCACATAAAAGAAGAATCCATCATTTTAAATTAAGCAGTATATATTCAGAAAAAGTAATTGTCTTCGGACAAGACTTGCACTTGTCTCCCATAGATAAAGCATAAACAGATGGACAAGAGAACTTTTCAGGAAATGTCCTGACATCATCAGAGATTCTCATAACTTTTATATTAATCTTATATAATGTGAATGCTGACAAACAGGTTATTTTCAGAAAGTGTGCTTTACTGAGGTTTAGTGTCATTTGTATATGCATATATATATATATACATACATACATACATTTTTTTTTTATTTTTATTTTTTTTATTGTTATTTAGAATTTTAATATCCAAATTTAATTTACAAAGATTACTCCTATTTTGATTTTTCAGGATAAAAGTAAATGTGTTCCCTCTTTTTTTTTTTTTTTTTTTTTTTTTTCAATTCTGAAATCCAACACACATTAGGTGTTGAATGTAAAAGCATAATTTTAACACCTGCACTGTTTTATGTTCATTACATTTATTTCATTAAAATTAACAAGAGCTAACCAAAATGTGTTTAATGCATATGTTTGAATAAATCTATTAAAACAGAAACAGTATTCGAATGATGAATTGTTATTTTGGAAAACGTTGTGTTCAGGAAAAGTCGTTCTATAAAGGTTGGAAATTCAGACTTACCTAGCTTACCCTTACTTTTATGAATTTACAATGAGTGTTACTTTTCTTGGTCAAAAACAAACTAAATGACATCAAAGATATTAAAAAAAAAAAAAAAAAAAAATTATTTACTATATTTTCATTAGAATTATCCCCCCTTACACCATTAAAATATTTAAGTAGATCGAAGTTTGCCGTGAATACATCTGGCAAAACAGTTGAGGCTCTACTCTCGATAAACAGCATTATCCTATGAAAATATGTTACATGTGCATTTAGTACAGAAATAAACGACTCTATAGCTATTCAGTGGTAGTTTTATCATATGCCCTATTTTGAGGAGGTAGTGTCCTTCTAGAGATTAAAAAAAAAAAAAGCAACGGTATTTGATTTTTTTTTTTTTTTTTTTTTTTGTCAGTCCTGAAGCTTATGGCCGGGGGGGTGTTCAAGTCATGAAAACATTATACAAAAACCTATTATAAAAACAAAACTGTCTAGGTTTGAGGCTTGAAAATTATGGTAAGCCTATTCAATGGTAAACATGTGGCCAGAAGAAAGTCGGTCAGAGAATATTATTTTACAATTCTGAGAATTTATATAAAAACATTTTTTTTTTCTAATATAAAAGCAATCTAAAAGTAATATTTCCCTTGTCATCAGAAAAGTTAGTGATTAAATACTGGATATTATAAATTATTCAATCAAATAAATTATGAAATGCCTTTACCAGAAAATATTTTTATATTTAAACGTTGAAAAGACAGGGTTGTCTCTCTTAGTTTCAGAAACCAATATTATGATTGTATTTACTATTAAAACATTTGTAAAACAATGTTCTTTTTATGAGTGTTATGTATAATAAACGAAATAGTGTTCTCTTGGTTGTTAATTTAAATGTGATTAGTATATAGTTTGTAAGCTTTTGTTTTTTTTTTCCTTGGATTTTTTTCTTTCTTTTTTTTTTTTTTTTTTTTTATATAACTGTTGTCATATAAAGAATTGATTTTTCAAATGCTGTTCTTGGACCGATTTTAATCATGAAATTTCTCTTATGCTTTATAGTGATTTAGGAAGGATATCACTTTCATTTTCAAAAGCATTCACTGAATTCTGTCGCTCTTTCAGTATATGTACAGATGTGTTTTTTTTTTTTTTTTTTTTAACATTAACCTTTTTATAAGAAATTAAACAGAAACAATTGGAAAAATGAAGAGAATTAAGATGTATCTAATCTTCATTTACTTTTAAATCTAACTGGACTGTTGTAATCAGATTAGATATATTGATATAAAAAAATGGCAAAGAACTGAAAAAAGAGTATTTTTTTTAATAAATACTTAAATTTAACATTTGAATTAATTCGAAATACTCTTGCAACAGGAGAGAGCTATTATAGATTTATTCTCCCATTTGTAACCCCCCCCCGCCTCGCCTCCACCGGTTATGGGCATTATTACATCCATGATATAATAACACCATAGTTCATAGATTGAATGTAATGGCTGAAAGGAAAAAGAATGACAAACATGCTTTGTTCTCAAAAAAACTTTTATACTATACTATTATATATCTACACAGTGTGTAAGGAGAAACAGAGATTTAGCTTCTGCCTGGGCTGCTCTAAAAACAAACTGAATGGAGTGATGTCATTAAGTGATCTGTCACATGACCCATGTGACTTATCTCCACCAAAGGCAGATAAGGGCCTTCTGTAACCCTACTCTCTTATAGTTTTGTAATTGGCAAACCTGTTACACCAGAGTATTAAAAAAAATTGTCAGTTTTGAATGTACTACAATCATTGATTACTTTTTAATATAGTTAACTTTTCAATCTGCTAAATTTCTATGTTAGCATAATTTGTTACCAATTAGACATCACTATTTCTCATAATTTGTATAAGCTGAACATCCCAGTTAAAATGGACATTCTATAAGAATAAACTTTTGTGCTTCTACAACTACTTTAAGATTTTTAAAGATATTAGCATATCATTTATTTTCTAATAAATAGTGCATGTTATGTATATTTTTAATAAGTTTTAAATCACAATCAACTGCTTTTAATTCATTTGGCAATTCCTATGATGGTTGGCTGAAAAGTTCATAAGCTGAACAAGATATTCTCATGGAATGTGACTAAAAGAAGTTTATTTTTCAACATAGTCTCATTTGTGGTCCACACACTTCTTTGATCAGTGTTGCAGTGTTTGGTCCCATTGATGAAGAAGCTTTCATCCTGTCTGTCAAAAAAGTCATCAACAGCAAATATGATGCCATTTTGACTCCAATACTTATTCCCAGCCAAGTGTTTTTTTCATGTTGGGGAACAAATGATAATCAAATAAGGGAGAATAGGGAGGGTGATCAACCAGTTCAAAGCCACAGTCACACACAGCAGTGACTAAAACCAAGGAATTGTGTGCTGGAGCAGTGTCCTGATGAAATAAGGCCCCTTTTATTAGTTTTCCTGGGTGTTTGATCTTGATAGCCTTTTGTAATTGGCTCAGCACATTGGCATAGTACTCTCCATTGATGGTGTGGCCCTCTTGAAGATAGTCAATAAAAACAATGTCTTTTGCATCCTAAAAAAACTGAGGCTATCTCTCTTCCCTGTGGATTAAATTACCTTGGCCTTCTTTGGAGGATGTGAGGAGGGGTGTTTCCACTTCATGGATTGCCTCTGTTGTAACCTAGGGAAGGTTACTGATAAGAATAATCAAGCAAAGTTTGGTAATGAACAATAATACTTAGGACAAGAACAACACATATAAGATTCACAAGCGGCGCATAGAAGTAGTCAACTACTAGAAGTGAGTCAAGTGAATTCCACAATGAATCTCCAACTGTAGACCAACTTACAGTATTTACTACTGTATTTATGTGAATGGGGGACATACCCATTATCATTCATAGGTATGCTACAACAATCTCTTTGTCTCTAGCTCAAAGGGCTGTACCCAACACTCATCCTGAATTAAAAAATGTTCAAGGAAACCAACAGGTTCTGCCTCAAACCATGTCAGATTTCCCCATGATGTAATGAGCCTGTGTGTTTTCTATCAGGTACTGAAAGACATGGCACCCGCTGAGCAGAAACTTTCATCATGCCAAATTCATTATGCAGAATATTCTCAACTGTCTCACAGGATATACTAATAGCATTAGCTATTTGATTTATAGTCAATTGCCTGTTATCCATCACTATCGGGTGAACATGATCAATGTTTTGCTCAGTGCTGGCAGTAGCAGGATGTCCTGACTTTGGGTTAACTTCAAGACTCTCACTCCTAAATTCAGCTGCCCACTTTTGCATTGTTGATAAAACTGGTGCGCCATCTTGTAATGTGGCAACCATGTTAGCATGAATATCCTTGGGGGGTTAAACTTTTTTTTTGCAGGTACACTTGGTAACATGATGCTAAATTTTGTCCATTTTTAAGAGCAGCCACAACTAGATACTTTTGAAGTTTTCTTTAAATAATCAGATGTCAGGTTACCTGGAAGAAAACACTGCCGCTAATAATAAGAAGAATTGAAATTAATGCATGCAAGATTTCACAGCTCTAGCATCACTCCTTCATAGTCAACCTATGAACTTTTTAGCCCAGCCTCATAAATGGACCAATTGTTTAAAGTTTTTAACATTAGAGCCATTTTGATAAAACTTGATAGTAGGAAACTGTCTTGTTTTTGTTAGTTTTATCATAAAGCAATAGATATCAACACAAAGGGGATTTACAAAAATAAATGAACCCCATTATCTAAATCTTTGAAAAGAAGAAAAAAAAACAAAAAACCTATGTATATAAAGTACTTATAAAGTTTTCTTTACAAAAATATTCCAGCATGTAAATGATTTCTCACTTACAGTTCAATGTTTTCTCACTTAGAGTTCAATGTTTTTCTTTCAAATATGTTCAACTGTTTTATTTTTCACTGTATTTAATTCAATAAAGCTATATACATTTTTTTTTTAAATAACATTAGAGATAGTGCTTTATTCTCATCTTATTGTGCTTTACATACATGTTGTTTCATTCAGATTTGTTTTTAATAATATATCTTCAAGTATTTATAGGCTATATGTAAGAAACATCATTAATTTTATGACTGTATTGTATAATAAAGTTGAATTCTAATTGTTTTTGTATTTAGACTATCAATATTCATTTGGATCGAGATGCCAAAAAGGGAGTAGTGAACCATCAGATTTCAGATTGGTCTTTTACTTTGAATGGTGTGTTCAACAATAGCAGTCAGGAGACTGTATATACAACTGTGGCTAAAGATCTGGTCTCTGCAGCACTAAATGGATACAATGGTAAATATGAGAAAATTTTGTTCCTTATTTAATGATCTGTGCATTATTGATTGTAGCTTCTTATCAGGATCCATAATCTGCTCTCTTCTATAAAAACTTTATTCATATTATGTTTAAGCTTATCATTTTTCTTCTTTTAAGTACCATGTTCCTTCATGACATGGGTTATCATGGCTCTCTACAACTTATTATCCTTTGTAGCTCTTAGCAGTGGTTTTTTTTTTTTTTTTTTTTTTATTCTTTCCCACTTGCTGACCTATGATCCATTTACACAAGGTTACTTGCTGTTTTCCTCTGTTCCTTTTGCCTTCAGTATATATCCTGTCAAGGCCCTTTTTCCTCATTATGTATTCCAAAGATTTCAACTGTCTCTTTCTGATTCTAAATGTCTTTTTTTTTTTTTTTTTGTTTCCATTTTCCTTCAAGTTTCCTTGTTTCTCTCATGCTCTTTCCATAGTATTCTCAGCATTTTTTTGTATATCTCTGTTGCTTTGAGTCTCTACTTTATCTGAAAGGAAATTGTTCAACATTCACTGCTATATGGGATAATTAATTTTACATAGCAGTTCAGTACTCTTTGTTTCTAATGAAACTTTTCTGTTTCTTAATACTTTTAGCTTTTGGAAGGCATCTTTTGCTAATTGTTCCAATGCACCTTTGGATTTTGGTGTCACATTTTCCATTGTCTGTTAAGACACTTCCCAGATATTTAAATATCTCTAGTTGCTTGATTTTGACATCTCCAATTTGTAGCTCACATCTTGGGTTGTTTCTCTTGTTGGAAATCATACATTCTCTTCTTACAATTGATGGTTAGTCTTTTCTTCTCTTCTTCACTACCTTGTTTACAAGTTCTTGTAGTTTTCTATCAACACTGTATCATCTGCATATCTTATGTTAAGATTGTGTTCACCAATAATAATAATAATAATCATTATTACTATTTTTATTATTTTTCTGAGTGTTTCTCAATCAATATCACAATGTTTCTTAATATTTATAACTTCTTGTTTAAATAAAACTTTGTTAAATTGTTATAAATATATCTTCAATAAAAAAAAAAAAAAAAAAAATTAATGTTCAACAGCTTTAGAATTATTCTAATTTTGGTCTTAAATTGTATGTGTGTGTATGTCTTGTGTTTGGGCTTATTATGTCATTCATGGTGTTTGCTACATTTCAGTGATTGACAAAATTTTATAAGTTGATTTTCATCAAAGAAGTTGTAAGTTTATGAAAAAGACACATTTTTTTACAATTAATACTTGAGTTGGAAAATTAGTTTATATTCTTCAAACTGCCTTTTTTATGAATGGATATTTACTATTACAAAATATTTTTGCTGAATTTATTTATCAGTAAAATAATTTGGATCTACTGTACATTTTCAAGTTTCTTTTTCACTTACTGCAATCAGTTGATTTCTTTTTCTGGTGTATTTGTTGGAATACAGTTAATTTGAACCTTTTATTTCTGCTTACAAACTTTCAAATGTTTGCACTTCCTTAGTTTTTCAAATCATATTGTGTCATTAAAAAAATCACAGTTAACCTTTCAAACCTCCTACTAGAAAAGAAGTTACCAAGTGGAAGTTCTCCGTTTACCCATGAAAGAGCAATAATGTGTAATTTGTGAAAAAATAAGACCTTTAAAATAACAATAGCAAATAAATTTGTTATTTAAGTGAACAACTTGTTTTTAACTGATTTGGCACAGAAACTTGAATAGTGCCTGCATAATCAGGATGGTAATTGTAATATCAGCCATTTCCCTACAAGGAAACATTTGGTATTCCTTGATTGAGCTGCCAGTACTGTTTTCAGTTGAAATTTATAAAATTTTTCTCTTATCCAGTAGGTTTTAGTGCTCTTTCTATTTGAAGTGGTGGAGAATGTTAACATTTTGATTATGTCATTATTTTCTCTTAAGTTACATGTGCTATCCATTTTAGTTGTTGCTGCTCTTGATAGTCCTCAAGTGATATGGTTTTTATTATATAGTACAGTTATTTGTTTGTGATTCTGTAATGCCAGTCCACATGGTTCAATGAAGGATGATCTTTGCCAGGACTCTCGGGCTTTACTTGCTCAAAGCGTTTTTTTTTGCCATTGATCTTAGGAAGTGGGTGTATACAGCTGACAGATATTTCTAAATAGGTTTGGCACCATGCGTGACATCCATATGAAAGTTTTGGTCTTGACAAGGCTAAAAACCTGACTCGAGTTTTCAGGTTGATATTTTGTTTTCATAGCAATTTGCAGTGTTGGGCAAAACTACCACTAGCACAGCCTATTTTATGTTCAATTTTTTCTCCCATACTTTTTTTATAGCTGATCCATATGCTAAAGTATCTTAAGTATTTAGATTTACTAATTCCACATCCTGAATTTTTATGATTGACTCAGGGTGGGTACCATCACTGCTTCCATTCCAATTCCAGATAATAGTTTCTGTTTTGGAAAGTTATACTTTGATTCCATTACTTGGAACACCTGATAGAGGATGCTGATTTTCTGTTCAAGATCATTCTTATTCCAACTATGAATACCTGTGTCATCAGCATAGGTCCCTTCCTTCATCATCAGTACATTGGCCTTGAAAGGTAAAGCAGGATTGTTGTCTTCTATTGGTAAACTCATTTGTGATGCAGTATGGAATGCTTAGTCAATGTCCATCTTATATCTGTGTTTGTGCAGGGCATAGTCTAGGAAGAGATTAAATAGAATGGGCCTCTCATTTCCTCCTTGTCATGCTCCAGATCTGAACTGATTCCATATTTGCATCCTCAGCAGACACACATTATGTAGCTAGATACAGTTCCTCTATTAGATTGATGCATTCAGTGGATTTGGAATTTGGAAGGCAGTTTTTAATAGATGAGATGTGATCATATGCTGCTGTGATGTTGACAAAAAAAAATATACAGTTTCTGATTAGAAAGGTAAACAATTTCTTGGAGTTGTTTGATAATATATATGCCATCATTGCATCTCTTACCAGAACAAACACCAAACTGGGTTGTGAGGAATTGACTTTCATAAAACAATGTGAGCCTGGTTAATATAATGTTCATTTATACTTTCACCATGATGGATCTAACAGAAATACCACTGTATATTTGAGAGCCACCTTTTCGTTTCCATAATGCAGTAATATGTGATTGTTTATTATAATATCTGGTGATTTGTGTACTTTAGTCAATTTTTTGGTTGATGCTGATGGTATAGATAATTGTCAGAGTTCAGGCATTAATTGTGGTTTTTTGAATAAGATTGTATGAAACACTGGTTTGTGAGATATTCACAAAACTAATGGAAAAGTGAATATCAGAATGAATGAGATCCTGTGAAAACTAATTGGTTAGAAAATATATTTTTCTCTACCATGCTTTGATTGGCAAGAATAAAAGTGTGATAGAATATACTTATTCAGAGTTCTCTATAAATTACAATCTGGACACTTTGAAAGTAATAGATTAGATGATGTACAAGGAAAATACTGAAATCATTTAAATTTTAATTACCATAATGATTTCTTTGAAAATCAATGCTCTTAAACTTTGGGATATGATGGTAAAATAAATGAATCACCAGTATAATTAACAATAATATTCACAGCATTCATTATTGATAGCAATACAACAAACAGGTGTTTGTTCAAAATGATTTCATCCCATATGTATAATATCACAAAGGGCAGCAATTTATATCCAAGTTTACATACATCTGCATACATGTTAGTATGTACATAAACAAGTGTTACCAGAAATGCATGGTCACACATATAGGTTTATATTCCAACACTTTCAATAAATTAAATCTAAGGCATTTAAAATTTACATTTGGAGTTGGATTCAGTTTAATTTCAGTTGCAAATTTGGCAACTATAATCATTGCATTTTGTTCAGATGCTTTTCAATTTTTTTATCAATATATTTTGATGTTTGATGCTGTACAGGGTTTTTCACAAGAAGAAAAATGCCTTGATTGTCACAATGCATAGTGATACAGTTGAACAAATTAGAATTTGTCCTCTTTTTCAGTAATTAAGGACTTCAATTCTTGTATTGCAGCTGCTATAGCTACATATTTTGCTTTACAAGGGAATAGTGCAAGGGTTTAGTGTTTTTTATTTTTATAAGATGTCAATGAACTATGTATTTCATTACAGTTAAAAACCATAACCAGTAATAATCTGACAACTTTTAGAATTAATCTACATCACAGAAATTAATTAGACTGAAAGGTTAAAGTGACATTTTTTTTTTTTTTTTTTTAACTATATTTTGATCCTTTCTACATTACAGATAATTTAAGAGGTGTTTTGTTTGAGTTTGTGGATAGTGATAGGCTTTGCTTGGTATTCTGACAGCTTCATTACAAAATAACAGATCTGTTCAAGTGGTTGTCATAAAATGTATTAAACTTCCTGTACCATTTGTCACCAATCAATTCAGCAACATCCTCCTTTATCTTATCTTATATAGAAGGAGTGGGACTGGAATTAAAAATTTTGCATTTAAATTTGGTTATCAACTTCTCTATTTACAGGAGGGTACTGAAAAGTTTTTGACCCAATCCATCTCCCAAAATCTGATTAAACATTATAATTAAGGTGTAATATGTGTTGTAGGAGGTCTTGTGATAATACCAGAGATTTGGGAATATTCCTTTGCAACAAAACACACATTGTTCCTTGCTATTTTAATCATGAAAATCATCCTCCACTATTATTCTATTTTCTGCTAAAGAAACTAGTTCATATATATTATTCTCTTTTAAAGAATTCATTTAATCTTGTATGGCTTCTTGCCAGTGGCTTGAATTAACAGAATTTAAGGCTTCTTAATACATCTTTGGTATATTAACTAATGAATCAGCACCACCTTGTTCAGTAGGATTAGTTTCAGCACACTGATCTGGCATCTTGATCAACAATTTCATTTTTTTTCTCTACATCCTGCAGATCTTGATTAGTAGCTATTTATTAATGACTTAAGC